GCTTCCCTATTGGTCTCTTAAATGTGCCCGTCCTTGTTCTTACTTCCGCCACCCTGACCTTTCCGTCTTGACTCTCGGTGACGTTGACGATTCGGCCGGTTACCCACTCTTGAGGTGGCAGATTGTCCTCGTGCACGAGGACTAGTTGACCGACCTCTATGTTGGGAGCGGAGAGCATCTGCCAGCGCTTGCAGTACCTCTCCTTGTTGTTGCTGTCTTCTCCGACGGATTCTGGCGGCAGCGAACGCAGACCCGCTCCGATTAGTAGGTGCCCGGGAGTCAGAGCTTCTCCGTCGTTGGGGTCTGGAGACAGCGGTGCTATGGGGCGACTCTTTAGCACCGCCTCTACTTCTACGAGCACTGTGACCATCTCTTCTTGTGTCAGCAGCACTTTGCCGACAGCTCGTAGAAGCACGAGGCAGCGTATTCCTCCACGGTTTCTCGGCCTGCTAGGAACTTCTCCTGAAGCTCCCTCATCTCTCTGCTGGCTCCCACGAAATTCGTCGCGTTGTCGCAGTATATCCTCTTGGGAGCCCACGCCTCGCGGCAAACCTTTTAAAAGAAAGAATAAAAGCATCAGAAGATAAATCAGATACTAATTCTAAGTGAACCGCTTTGGACGTGAAGCAAACGAAGACGGCTATATACATTTTGGTAGGTGGTCTTCCGCGAATTTTTAAAGTTATATTTACGGGACCACAGAAGTCTACGCCTATTATTAAAAATGGACGTAAAGCTCTCACTCTATCAGTGGGAATATTGCCCATTATTTGGGTCATCAGCTTTGGCTTGTAGCGAAAACAATGGATACAATTCCGAACTATTCGATTACATTCTTCTCTGGCATTGATAAGCCAAATTTGCTCTCGAGACAATGCAACTAAGGCTTTCGTATCAGCATGGCAATTATTAAAATGTAAATTATTTAAATATATTGACACAAAATGATGTTTTTTAGGAAGTAAAAATGGAAACTTTGTATCAGGGGGCAATTGTGCATTTAACAGTCTTTCACCTACTCTAAGCAAAGAAAATGTCCGCTTACATTCAGTAAAATCGTGGATAAATGGTGTCAACTTCTGGATATTGGATTTTAAGCATATTGACTTTTTTATTTGAGAAATCTCTTCTGAGAAACTCTCTTTTTGAACTGCCTCTACTATTTTAAGAAAAGACCAATTCAATTCTTGAGCTGTGAGACAGATAGATTTGGATATCTTTCGTTTCTTAACTCGATCGACAAACCGGAAAACATATGAAACCACTCTGAGAAGTTTTTTATATGAAGAATGGTCATTTATTAATTTCAAAAGAGTGTTCTCAGAACATTCCTTATCTGTCTTACTATTTGAGGTCAGTAATACTTTGGATTTTCTTGTTTCCAATAATTTTTCCTCCTCAGTCAACTCGAAATGCTTGTTGATTGGCCATTTAGACATATCGTCTAACAAAAATTTGGGTCCTTCAAACCATATCGATGATATAATTTCATCTACACTGCATCCTCTCGACACAATGTCGGCTGGATTCTGTTTAGTTAGCACATGACGCCAAATACATTTTTCTGACCATTCTTGAATTTCTGCAACTCGATTTGAGACAAATGTGGCCAGAGAAGAAGGATGGGCTTTTAACCAGTATAGTGTAATTTCAGAATCAGACCAAAAGTATATTTTTTCAACATCAAAGTTCATCATTGGTTTAATTCGTAACCACATATTTGCCATGAGATGTGCTGCTGAGAGCTCCAACCTCGGAAGAGATATAGTTTTGAGGGGACCTACTTTAGATTTAGCTGTTAGCAGCCTGCAAGATACTCCATTAGAGTCCTGCGAACGAATATAGAAACAACATCCATAGGCACGCATCGATGCATCTGAGAACCCATGAATTTGAATTCTAGATGAAATATTGGTGTTAACGAATCTTGAGATTTGAATCGTATCCAACTTCGAAAGACTGAATTTGAAATCTTCCCAGACTGAACTCAAACGCATGGGAATCGATTCATCCCAGTCTAATTTATTAATCCAAAGTTCTTGCAATAACATTTTGGCTTTGGTTATTATTGGACACAAAAGGCCGAGGGGATCAAACAAACGTGAAGATATTGACAAAATGTGTCTTTTAGTAGCTTTCAGATCTTGGAAGCCTCCCTCTATGTAAAATTTGAAAACATCATTTCTTGGAGCCCAATGAATTCCCAATGCCCTTGCAGTCTCGGAATCCGAGTGTAACAACTTTTCACCACAAGTTGTCTCATTAAAATCTGGATGATTAGAAAACCATTTTGTGAGATTTAATCCCGCTGAACTGAGAATATTAGTGACTTCATCTCGAATTGTGAGAAGACTATTCAAATCAGCAGAACCAGTCAACAAATCATCCACATAGAAGTCGTTGTTTATAAACTTTGGCACCAATAGGCCAAGTCTCTTTGGACAAATCGCTCAAATGGTTTAAGCAACGAATTGCTAGAAATGGAGCGGACGAAGTACCATAAGTGACCGTATTCAATCTGAAAATTTGCAGCGGATCACTTTCGTTTTGTCTCCAAAGGATCAAATGAAAATCTCTATCTTTTTCGTCGATTAAAACTTGACGATACATTTTCTCAATGTCTGCAGTAATTACGTATTTGTGTAAGCGGAATCGAAGTAACGTTGAGTACAACTCTTCTTGAATAGTTGGACCTACCATCAAGAGATCATTGAGTGAAACATGTGAAGATGTTTTACTCGATGCATCAAACACGACGCGTAGTTTCGTAGTTGTACTTTGAGGTCGGAAAACACATTAATGAGGAATGAAATAATGTGGGTTATTAGGAATTTTATTGTTCGTCAAGAGATAGTTTTCTTTCCAATGCCAGAAACCGCCTTTTGGCTGTTTCAAATGACGAACCCAAAAGTTTCACATCTTCTTTAAAAGGTAAAGAAACTTGAAAGCGTCCTGGCGATAAACGTCGAACATATTTTTGGAAATGTTCCTCACATTTTTGATGTTCCTCAGACCGAATTTTTGCACTATTATTTGGAATTTCTTCTAACTCCCAGAATTTCTTTACAATTGCATCAATAGTTTCTTCATTGTCTATGGCAACATTCAAGTGGCATAACCTGAATTGGACCCCTTTGACTCATCGTATTTTCCAGCTACGATCCAGCCAAGAGAAGTTTTTTGCAGAACCGGATAACTTGGATTCGATTTGATTTGGCCTACACAAAGAAGTTCGAAGAAAACTTCAGCACAAAGTAATAAATCCACTTTACGAGGTTCATTGAAATTAGGGTCTGCCAGCTCTATATTTTTAGGAACATTCCAATTAGCAGTGGAAATTCTCTTATCAGGTTGAAGACTTGTTATAGAACTCAATACCCAGAATGTAGATGAGAATTGTTTGGATTGAGTCTCGACATCACAGACAGTTGAACTTTATTTTTCGAAATGGAAATTCCTTTTGAAATGCCAGTTAAATTTAACCTGCCACTTTCCCGTTTTATTTTAAGCCTTTGTACCAAGTCTTCGGTTATCAAATTAGGTTGAGAACCGGAATCTAAAAGAGCTCTCGCCAGAATATATTTTCCTGAGCTACTACGGACCTTCACTAATGCTGTGGCCAACATTACGCCTTCATTCGACGATGAATAGTTAACCGAAGCGCTAGACGTAGAAGGCTGCTCTTGATCAGAAGCGTATCGATGCAGTAAGAAATGGTGTGATCCACCGCATACTCTACACTTCACTCCTGAATTGCATTTGGCAACAGTATGGCCTTTTTTGAGGCAATTGATGCAAGCAGGGACATCTTTAATGAATTCAAATCTTTGCAGAACTGGTACGGCAGTGAAGGAAGTACAATTATTTATATTATGCTGAAAAGATCTACAGAACACGCACTTTTCAGAAGATGGTTTCTGTTTAGAAACTGAAAGTGACGTTTTAAAGTTCCTTTTAGGCTGATTCTCAAACTTTGGTTTATTAATTTTGGGTCTTGCACCAGAAGATTCTTCAGCTGATATGTGCTGATATCTTTTATTTAAAGCAGCTTCGCAATCAGACCATAATGGGAGCTTCTCGAAATCAAGCTGTTCTTCCCATTTGGATTTAGTGATTGGATCGACCTTTGAAATAACTAAATGAATTAAAATGGTATTCGTAATCTTTTTATCATCACCAATCGACAACAGTGAATCATAAATAGCAGAAACTGTGTCGATCATGCTACGCAAAGCAGAAGCTGAAGGTTTAGGGATCTCAGGAAGATCAAAAAGTTTAGCAATATTATCGAAAAATATTAAACAATCATTATCATAAACCTTTTTCAGACTAGCTAATGCCTTGGGATAATTTTCTTCAGAAATCTGAAATGCTCTTACAGTACCGAGAGCTTCATCGGACAAGCATGAAATTAAATGATTGAATTTTTCTATGTCTGTCAATGTCGGATCTGTGTGAACTAAATTTTCAAAAAGACTCATAAAATTTTTGTATTCGGAATATTTTCCGCTAAATTTAGGCAAATTTATGTTTGGCAATCTAGACTGATGTGATTGGCCACAAAAAGAAGTTTCAGGCATACTATTTCTCCTATTTTTAGATAAAAAATAGGGACTTTGCCGTAACGCATAAGTCTTCTAGTTCGCCTCGATCATTATTATCGGGATCTAGAATATCAAGTTCGGATTGCAATCTCATTGCATCATCAATATATTTATTACGAATGTCTAAGCGACATTCTACTTCAATTGTATTGAACGAAATTCTCTTTTCTCTGAAAGAAGTCTTAATTCTTTCAATATTTTCAATTACCTTTTCTTTCTGTTGTTTTATGTTGGAAACTTCCGTATCGGGAGTGCTTTGGTGCTTCTTACCATCAGCCATTATATAGAATTTAAATTATATTTGTAAATTCCAACAAAAAAGTATCTACAAACTTATTATTAGTGAAAGGTAATGAACTAGTTTATTAATAATAAACTCTCGCTTTTATCAAAATTTATACAATGTCAGCTTTATTGACAATTTAATTATTATTTAAATTAAATTGTTTGGTTTACAACTGTAAACAATCAATTTTCAATATTTTAGAAATCTTACAAAGAATTACGTCGTCTATAGCACCCTTAATATTGCTGTGTTTCGAAAACTATCGATTACACTGTTTACCAAATGGAGTAACCGAATACAAGTAGTCAATTACTCACGAAGTGTTTGGCACTAGTAGAAACTAATCAAAACAAAGAAAATTAAGTGAAAAAAGGCAAAATTAAACAAATAAATTAAAAAATATATGTAAATTTGCCGAATTGTAATATTTGTTTACAATTAGTTTCACTCGCGAATGTATAATAAAATTTGTTTTCGCGGATTAGTGTGGTGCTATGAATATACAATAACAACAAGTGAAATAACTGACAAAGCAAAAGCGGAATAAGAAAAGGCAAACTTAATTTATATGTAATAATTAAGTTTGTGTTATCTTGCCGCAAAATCAAGCCAAAACGATTCACAAAATATATATAAATTGAAATATCAAGCGTATATGGATAATTTGTGTGAATTTTGATAAAATAAAATTTGTTTAACAAATTCTCTAACACTGAGTAATTTACAGGTTAGGATTCACACAAATTATGTCCAACGCTGTTACCTGTGAATCAGAATCACTCTCCTGATTGTTGTGTTTGCTCCTGCATAGACGGCAATCGCAGCGACGGGGCATCTGGATTTGATGACAGCAGCAGGTTTTTTGATGGGGAGTGTTTATTTTATTTATTTAATTTAATTGTTTTTTAATATTGTCTTCTTCTTCTTCCTTGTAGTATTTTAACAAGGCTGTTTTGCACAAAATTAACAAAACACACCGACACTTTATACTCCCGGGTTTCGGCACCAAAATATTCACCTTTATTTTAAGGGAATTATTATAATTTTTAATTATAAAATTAATTTATTTATAATTTTTAAATATTGTTATTTTTTATGGACTGCGAGAAGAAAGACGCGTATCGTTGGCGGTATAATTCACAACAATGACTTTATTATTATTCTTTCTCATTATCCTATTCTTCTACATCTAACTTAATTGTAAATGTACATACTATTTAAATACTAATTTTTACAACTAAGGAATTCATATTATTAATTAATTCAAATTCAAAAATAAATAAAATAAAAAATCATAAAAAACAAATAAATTGAAATAACAATTACAATTAACAAAATTCAATTTGAATCAATAAAACTGCTCCAACAGTATGAATTAACCTAAGTTCATTTTCGACATTTGGTGTAGTGATTTTGAATGAACAAATTCCGATTTTTTACCGACCGATGTGGAGGATGTACATTTTGAGTGACAAAAAACTCGGGCTGCAGCTGACAGCAACGATTTTGACGAGCTTGCCTGAACTTTTGGAGTCAAACCGGAATCGAACTATTCAGATTTAATGACTCGCGATGTAATAACTTGTGATGACGTTGACCACATCTCCAACAACTATTTTTACTAGTACAATTTACTAATTTATCAAACAATTTATACAATGTTCGTGGCGCTTGACAAATGCAATCCTATTTTCAGGGGATAATTTCTTAAATTTCGAGCAAAAATGAAGTCGATGGCATTTCTCTCGACAAAGAGAACATGATTTTCCAATTGAAGGGGAAGATGAACATTTGGAATGGGAATTCTTAGCATTATTTAGCGAATTTGTATTAGGCAAAGGGTTCGATTTCTCTTGATAACTTTCCAAACACACAAGCGTGTTTATCCTATTTGAACCTATTTGTTTTTAATGCCTTGTTCCCACAGTAACTGCGTTTCTTTTGGTAAACGTAGAAGGCAAAGAAACACCAGTATCGGATCCGATTGATCTATGGGAACGTTGTAAGTCGACATTGAATAAATGCAACTATTAATTCCCCGTCGGATCTCTTTTAGACCCGATGCAGTTTCTTTTACAATAATTGGAAGACTATACAACAACTTTAGTTGATGATGAACCAATATTCGAATATTGTTGTATTCATCATTTAATGCTTTCCATGCGAAAGCGAAACCACGGTTAGTTAGAGGAAACTGCGAAACGATTTCCCGAGCTTCTCCAGAAGTTTTATTCAGCAAATAGAACATACGTTCAACATCACTCAATCGAGAGTTATTAATGTAAACGGCGCTAAACAAAACCCGAAAGGAAGGCCAAGAAAAAAATCTACCTCAAAAAAATCAATTGGTAGGAATGTCATATTGTGAACGATATCACAACCAGAAGAAATATTTGCGGCATTTTTTCCTGCGATTCAGGAGCCAAAAGTAATTGATTTTTATCCGCAATTTTAATCGAATTTTTGTTATGTAACGATATTTTATAATTTTTCTACTAATTTATGCCATGGTACTTGAATAAATGTTAATGGAATCGTTATATTTATTCTCTGCCAAATGCAGAGATTCTTTAGTGACATTTTCCGAATTTTCTATGTTTCGCAACGATTTATTTACCGATTGCATTAATTTTTCGAGCTTGTTCTTCCTTTCCTCTAGTTTACTGCTATCTAAATCATCATTTTTTATTGCACCGATTTGCGTACCAAATTCTATCAGAGCGTCAGATGCTCTTATGAAAGTCTGTAGAGGAGAGAAGGCCATAGTTATAACAAGAAATACCGAACAATTTTGGACAAAAATGCAAAAATAAATGTATAATTAAAATTATCCTAAAATATGGAATGTGTTCTTTCTTAGTTTTCGCACAAAGTGAGTGATGTCAAATTCTAACGAATCACTAAGGTTTTTCCGACACTTTGCAACACCTAGCGTACTCGTTGCTTTTTTCTTCCTTACCTTTTTTACTTACTTAGCTTTGGATATTCGTCCGCAACAAACCACCACCAATTGTAATAAAGGTAAAATATTGTTTTTCCGAACAATATTTAAATAAATTGTTTAATTTATATTTATTGAGACAACTAAAACCTTTTGTGTTTGTTTTCTCTTTCGAGACGAGCTTAATGATCTGAAATTTGCAGTGAAAAGTAAAGCCAGATAGACACTATCATACACTCACCACTATGCGACGCATTTCGCCGTTGGTTAAGCGGCTCATCAGGCATATTTGTTGTGGATGATGGCTTACAAGGGCCGTTCTCTGGAAAGTAGTATATATTTCGAACTTATTGCAAATTAGCATATGCGAATTATACACTAGAAACTCTCCAGGTTCGACTCAAGTTCTATTGGCAGATCTTTTTCACAGCAAAGTTTTGTTTTTTTGTAGTGATGGATTTTTTGTCCACAACAACTACATTGCTTCCAATGCATACACTTGTTTTAGTGCTGCTTTAGGAAGACGGGTTAATGGCTCTGAACGTAGAGACGGCAACTTCTAGTTGGCTGCACACCGAGGTCCGCGGTTCAAATCCCACAGCCAGGCTCGGCTGAATTTTTGAGTTTTGCGTTGTTAAGGCGAAGATCATATGTTTTATGATTTTATGTGTTTGTTTTCTCTTTCGAGACGAGCTTAATGATCTGAAATTTGCAATGAAAAGGAAAGCCAGATAGACACTATCACACACTCACCACTATGCGACGCGTTTCGCCGTTGGTTAAGCGGCTCATCAGGCATATTTGGTATTTTGTTTTTCTTTATTTTATTTTTATTTTATTGCCTACGCAAACATTGGTCCATTCGAGCCGGAGCAGAAAGAATTGCTGCCTAAAACAACAACAACTAATTGTTCATTTTTTTCTAATAAAGGCTGACTCCGTCAACACCACAAACAACTAAACGCTGTCCATCATCTCCAAACTCATCATCCCTCATCTTCAAATTATTGATACAATTTTAAGGTGAGTACCGTCAATACAAAAATGAGCATCCACGAGTGTCTTTTTTGTATTATTTAAAAAGAGAATATACCAGTGTTTTACACTTTACCTACGTTCGTCTTACATCATCGCGGCGCATTGTATTTGTTGTTATTCTCTTCAAAAATAACTACAATTCATATTCTCGGTTACGAAAAATAATAATCAAAAAGTGCAGTGAACCTTTTAAAAATTGTTGGTGCCGGTATATTCTGTTTAAACTATTTACATTGTTGTTGGTGCTTTTTTAATCCATCGTCCAGTTGACGAAAAAGAAAAATAGAAAAAAAAAACACTAACAAATATACTGGCTAACCATCAGCACTGCTTGCTTGGATATCGTTGATCGTTTGATACAAGCACACATACATACATATCTTGTAAATATACGAGGTCCCCTCTGTAAGTTAATATACGTAGGGTGTGTGGAAAGTTTGTATTAGAAGTTCAATAAATTATATTATTATTTTTTGATTTTTTTTTGTAATGCGGTAATCATTTTGAAGTTGATTAGTAGGACCAACTACGTTACACCCTACATTCGTCCCGAAAAGCGATTTCGAAAATTTTTTGCATATATATTAAAATCAAATATACAATTTTTATTTAATTTTTCCTAATTATATTTTGATTTGTTTGGAAATTTTGTTGTTGTTGTTGGACTGTAGAGTTCATTTTATAGTCCGTGTAGCCTACATTCAGTCAAAATTGAGGTATTTTTGAGATTTTTTAATTTTTTTCTAGAATTTCTGAATTTTATTTATTTTTTTCTTTTGCAATTTTTCTTCGTAAATAAATTCTTGGGTGTTTACCAAAACATTAAACAAAATCTGGTACTCTGAAAAAATTGTGCCTGTTCTGTAATACACTGGGAAAACAATTTTTTTATATTTGACAGAGTTTTGCGAGTTGTATTGTATTTTTACATACAATAAGATAAACCGTGGTCGTTTTTAGTACGGTTTTGTATATTCCGATTTTTTGCAATTTGGAGTTTTTCTTTTTTTGATTTTTTAAAAAAAGAAACTAATTGGTGACAATTCCAGTTCTTTATTCTTTTGCTCGGAGCGTTTTTATTGATTGTTATCATATCGCTTACTCCGTTAGATTTTTTCATCAGAGCTGCAGATTCGCTTATTAAGTTTGAAGCCAATTTCATGTCTCTTCGAGATGAAGACTTCGATATTTATGCACTGGAACTTCAAGCCAGTGAAGTTAAGGAAATATGGAACAGAGTAAAAGATATGTTTGATAAATGCCTCAATCATTTACAGACTACCGCTGGTGCTGATGTTGAAGATATAACTTCGTCAGAGGGCAAATATCAAGCCGCTTTCAACGCTTATATTAATAGTTTGGCTTTAATAAATAGGAAACTTGATGACCTACGAACGGTTCCAAAGAATTTTCCCGCCCCCTAGTTCAAAATATATCTAGTTCTCCTCGAGGAGAGCGCCAAGGTGCTAACGAAATCCTTTCCATTTCTTAAATTTCGTTTCCAGCTGAGGCCGCAGGTGATGTTTCCGTACTAGGGAATGAAAATAATTTTCATAACATGAATTTACCTCTTTGTGATATTGATATCTTCAATGGAGATTTTCTATCATGGCCAACGTTCCGGGACTTATTTTCTGCGGTATTTATTAATAACAACCGGCTAAGCGACATTGAAAAATTATGTCATTTAATGAAAAAAAAAAAAAAAAAATAGGTGGTGAAATTCCCCTTAACCCATAAGAGTTTTAATTTAGCATGGAAGGCATTAAAAGCGACGTATGACAATGTCCGCATACTTGTCCATAATCAATTGAGGTTGTTATTCAATATTCCTGTCCTGTATAATGAGACTTGTTCTGGTTTAAAATATATTCAACGAGTAGTAAATGGGTGTATTTAGGCAATGGCGATCTATGAAGTTTCGATAAAAGACTGGGATCCCATATTAGTTTTTATTTGCATTCAAAGATTGCCTAAAAATACAGTGACTTTATGGGAACAAACAGTAAAAGATAAATCAGCTTTGTCAACTTGGGAAGAATTGAATGGATTTCTTTCAGAGAGAATTCAGACACTTACGTGTCTCAAAGATATTCGGGACATAGACTCATCTCAAAAGTTTGAAAAAAAGGTTCGCTCCCACTTCTCCAAAATGATCTCTACTAAGACATCACGTTCCTCTGCGGGCAAAACTTGCATTCTTTGCCCTAAAATAGTTC